CTGTTTTGTCTGAGGGGGTGGCGGGAGAGGGCGGGCGCCTCTCTGCGGCAGCCTGCGAGGGAGGGGGGAGCTCGGCCGCCCGGTGCGCCGCGGGCCTTTCCGCGGCCGTGTAGGAGCAACCAGAACAAGAGCAGCCGGAGCCAGCGTGGCCAGTCGGCTTAGGGTGGCAGAGCTAACGCATAGCAATTTGCATTTCTTCCTAAACTGTGTGGTTTGAGTGTATTGTGGGTTTTGCGATTAAAATAGTGAAATAGCATTTGTGGAGATGCTGTAACAAAAAATCTTTCGGAAAGTGCTGCTTGTGTAAGCCACCACGTCATTAGCGCAAGTGAGCGTGTACGTGCAAAATGCTTTTGTGGCGCTTTCTGTTCTCGGGCTCTTCGTTTTTGTCTCCTCAGCCACACGTGAAGTGTCTGGCGCTTGCTCTTTGTGTTACATCTTGTTGCCTTGGTAACGTAACCTTCGTGCAGGCTTAAGGCACTACTTGCAGGTAGATAATTCAAAATGCTTTTTTTCTTAAGTTGGCTGCTTAACCCGATGCACGCATGTATTATTTTGCGTATTGCATGTATTATTTTGTGTATTTACTCACAATTACTTGATCCTTTCAAATCGAAGTTCTGGGCTGTATTCAGTAGTTCGAGCATTTTCACTGGACAGATATGTTATTTGATTATAGCTTCTAGTGATCATAATTGTGATGCTGAAACTACAGATCTCTAAAATTATTATTTTGCAGTTTCAGTCAACGATTCTGGCAGTGAACTTTCTGAAAACATTTACAGAAACTAAATGTGGAAAGGCTATGGATACTTAGAGTTAACGATAGATTAGCTGCCATACTTGCCCATTGTGTACTGAATATCATAAAAATTTAAAAAAGAAAATAGTAAGGAGTAGGGTAGCAAGACCATGCCGTGTTGCTGGCAGTATGTTATACAGGGATGTTTCTTACTAGGGCCTATGAATGAACTAGGATTCAATTTACATAGTTACAGGTACTTTAACAGTGCTCATAAAGAAGATGTGAGTGTGCCCTAAAGGTCTTGCAAGGTAGCTCAAACTAGATTCAGGTGCAAGTAGGTGGAAGAATAATAGAGGGTGAAAGTCATTAACAGTCTGAACCTCTGCCAGTCTGCAAAAGGAATTAGTGCTAATTATACCTCATTGAGTTATCCTTCTTTTATTGTGAAGCACAAAAACACTAAATATGATTAGTGTCCATTAGAATAATTTGAACTAGAAAGCATATGATTTCCTAGGGTAGCTAGCTGTGCACATAATTCTAAATAGCTCTACTTTCTCCCCCTGTTGTTATTCCACTGTTACAGAGGCTATTGATCACGGGTGAAAAATCTTGGTATATACCAGCTTCCTCCAACAAAAATCCTTGGACCGCCTTCGTTCATGTGAACTGTCTTGAATTTATGTGTAATTTATGTGTAATAATTACGTGTAACTTACTCATTGGATCCACTCTGCTTCCTTACTTTTGATGACAATGAGAAAAGCCCCCCACATGGTTTACTTCAGATACAAACTGTGCAAGTCTATGGTGAATTCCCTGGATCTGTAGAATATACATACGCAATTTTCTTCTGATTGTGCACAGGGTTGCACAACTACAGCTCTCAAATTGGTCTGTGAATCCTTTCATTTGTTCAATATAAGCTTTCAACATTGTGAATGCTGTTGGAACGCTTTGTGCATGTCTCCAAATAGCTTTTCCTAGCTGTGGGGCAAAGGCCTTGGCGTGTTGGAAGGTTAATTTTTATTGCTGTAACTCTATTTTATCTATACAGAGGTTTGAAGGTCACGGAATTTTAAATTCTGGAAAAATACAAGACAACACAGGGCTCCCCCACTTTGTATTAATGCCATTTCTGCACCCTTTGCACATGAGTTTTAGACTAAGTAGCTTATATCTTTTATTTAAAGCCACTTCTAAGTAGTATGGAAGCCCCTTTCCGTCAAAATAAATACCTAATCATTTGCAATACTTAAACTGTTAAAAAAACCCTATATATCGATCTGAGCTAGATGGATCCAATAAAAAAAGATATCAATTTAAATGAGTACTTTGCAATGGTAAACTTACAACTTTTCAGCAGACTAAATCAAATTTAGCGTGGAGGCAGCAAATTGATATACAAAGGATATACAAGTACAAGGTCCAAGGATAATTAAAAAAAGCCCTCTCGCCACAGTTTTCCTGCATGCTAACTGCGTTCTTGGTTATAATCTAACATTAAAAATGTTCTCCAGTTGAAAAAAGAAGTAGTTAACCTCATTAGAAATGTTGTAGATTCTCTGTATTTTGAAACTCGCTGAAAAAAACCAGACCTGAGGAGGATTCAGTTGCTCAGTGCTTTTATTTCACGAAAGAATGAACATCTCGGCAATCATGTAGTATCATACTTTCCGCATATCAGCAGAGCCCAAGCAGCAGCAAAACGTTACTGATCTCTATGCTTTATTGGATGTTAGAAGGGGAAAAAAGTAAACTGAGCATAATGTTCAGCTATAAATATTGTCAAATACATCCCTGGTTTCAGTCTGTTTTAAGGAAAATAGATCTTATGCTGCCTCCTGTTGGTCACCTACAAACAGGAACAGCTAAAATGCGACTCCACGTTAGGAGCTGCAGACAGCACGCTCTATAGCCTGTACCTCACCTACTACCAATCAGCGGAGGTATACTGCTTTCTTCATGGAGCAATACCAGAAATAAATCCGACCCAGCAAATCTACTCCATTTTGGGAATATAATGAATTTTTAACAGCAGTAAACTGACTTACTACAAATGTATTTAGAATATAGAAAATAAATTCATTAGTACATAAATAATAATCGTCAGGTCTGTGCAAACATAATCAATATAAACACCTGAATAATTGATATTTATTATAACAACTAAACCAGTATGATAACACTACCAAAGTGCCATAATGTTTTGATAGCATTCTTTAAAAATTAAGATTATCCAATATAATCATTGCTGGATATTAAAATCCCACATACAATATATATTATCTTCATGTATATTATACTGGTCATGCTTATAATGTGTTCTGTGACATATAATAGAACAGTTAGAAATGTTTTGGTTACATCATTTGGTTGCATCATTAAGTGCAAGTAGTAGATTATAACTTTACATGCAATTTGTATGTTTTAAACATCTTACTATATTTCAGTGACAACATAGGTAATCATTAATCTAGTCATGGACTATTTTTAGAGGAAGGTACTTTTTCATAAAGTACTGTGAGCTTTGACAAGTCAGAAAAGATGTAGAAAAACTCGTGCTAATTTTGTGACTTAAAATTGCATAACAGCTGCGTAAAGTAGATTGAAAAATCTGTTTGATCCAGACCTACAGCAGTTACTCATGCAAGTAATCCATATTCTTCTGAGTAGTGTAGTTGACTTCACTGAGATTTCTTACATCATTAGCGATTAATTACAGGATTTGGAACATAGGCCCTTAATTCTATCATGAAGCCTTGTTTTTAGCCATGACTTTCTAACACAGCTGCTTCTGCACTCAATTCTGCTATCAGATTTAACTCTCTGTATGTGGAATTGTGGCAAATGACTTTTTTCCTCTGTGAGAGTTGTAATACAGGCTTACCTACGTAACTGAAGAAAATTCGTACTATTTCACAGTAACTTTTCTCTAAGCAATGGTATAAAGTAACTGACACTACTACGTTATTTCCTGATCACTGAGTAAGAGAGCTCAACTCCATTTGAAATCCATCAATGATTTGTCAAACTGGGAACTGACATTAGTTCCTGTGCAAATGTAGCATACAATATTAAAGAAGCATGTCTATTTTAAAAATTAAGCTTCAGTTTTCACTATATATACTGAGCAATTTACCACATAACGTCATTGCTCTAGCTGATGTCGTATGCCAGAGGCTTATACATATAGCAAGCTTATACATAGTAGCTGGATGGAAGACTGCCAAAAAAAACTTGCTGTAAGGAAAAACTTAGAGGAAAGAGCATCACCTGAATTACTGACTTAAGTGCTGTTTATGTGACCCAGCAATTTGGTCATGACAGTGGCAATTAAAAAAACCTCGCAATTCTCTAGTCTCTTCCAATTTGCATAGCTATTTATACCCATGTACTATGGGCATAATATGTTACTTTTCTCATTGCATAAATTGCATACTCCTATTATTCAGGTATAAAAGCAACACAAAAACACAAGCAGAGGAGAACTGGGCCTTGTATTTCTGATGAAGTGACAAGTTGCAATAATTAATGATTAATGAAGTCTCTATGCTACCATAAGTAGCCTTATTACTGCTAAAACTACCATTCTATATGTCTGTTTTATTTTTCTCCTACTGTTTCAGTAAGCAGGAATAGTATTCTCCATCTCTCCTAAACTATTCAATACGTTTGCTTTACACTAACAAAAAGTAGCTGTGTTCCACTATAAAAATGCTTGCGTTTCAGTATGGTGATTGTAAAGGTTACCTAGCTAAGTGTAGTTATATTATGATTTGGAGATTCACTATGAAAAGAGCAAAATAAATGGGGAAGTTGCCTGAAATACTGTAACAACAAGCTATTTACTTCTACAGAACTGACACACATCTTAATACAAATAAATTATTGAGTGGGAGGATTCTACCCTATTAGTATGTTCTCCAAATGTGCATAATTTTAATTTACATCCTTATGAAAATATTTATGATGAATGTTATCTAAATTTATAAAGGTATCTGGTAACATTAGAATCAGTCACAGAATTGGAACTGTCCATTGTTTACTGTTTAAAACAGAAGTATGTTGCTAGGCAATATTAAGCTTTAAGCATTAATACTGAGCTTGAGTTTTGCAAAGTACATGCAGTAGTGATGTGATAATGAACTTACTGCGGCCGTCTCAAGCCATATGAAAGATATTTTAGATGCCTCCCTAAATTTTGTTCATTTTTAAACTGCTTGGAAGAGATGTGCTTAGATGTTTAGAACCATTCTGTCTGGCATAAGACAACCTTACTGCTTAAATGATACTTATATGGAACATAAGGGCTCCCAATATCTTATTCAAATAGCTGGCAAGAAAGAAAATTATCAGGCTGTGGAAGATTACAAATGAATTTATGAAACCTAACTAATTTCAGTGTCCTTCTGTCAGACACAGGTCCCACTTCGTATGCATGAGATCAAATTTACTTCACAATGTATGCCTAGACTAATATTAATACTAAAAGTCCATTACAATTTTAACATTATAATAGATGACTACTGAAAGTTTATCAAGCAATATATTGTGTTTACCATGTAATATTTTAACACTTAAAATTACCATGAAGTACAAGATAAAGTGTTTTAATTCATTTAAACCACTATAGAAGTTAGAAAAGGAATTCTTTCACCTCTGAAATACTATTTACTTTGACTTTAAATATGGGGATTTATTTTTGTAACTTTGTATTTGATGTATGACAAGATACGAACTTTTCCCGTAGTTAACCAAAGCAACAACTGAACTTTAGTTTACAGCTTGCTGCGGTAAGCAGCCTAGCGGCTGCATAGCAGGTAGCACTGGAGACTTCAGAGATGGAAGACTTCTGTTAGAAAACATCCTGAAGTGTTTTTTCTTTAGTTAACAGCATGACTGAAGCAAAGATACCACACGAATCATCCATCCTGCAGAAATCTTGCCCACCCTGCAATATGTTATCAAAGTTTGTCTTGCCACAGTTAATGAGACGAAAACAGAAAGTACAGCTACTACTAAGGCACAAGGATGGAGGAAAACTGGTAAAACTGAAGAGCTGAAGTAAGATGATAAGAATTATCAGTCTCTTCAAGTTAGATACCTGGTTTTAATGCTGTGAAGGTCACTTTGGCTCTTGCCTTTGCTAAGGTCATTCTAATAAGATCAAGCTGACAATGAATTCCTCTTACAGGTTTATGAATATAAAAAACCCTAAATAAAACAACACTAATGTAGATTTCTTTTAAACTTAAGTTACATAGGGAAAACAGTATCACAGTCAGTTTTCTCACTCAGCAATTCGTCTACTGGGACAACTGTGAATATTACAGAAATAATGGCACATATTACACAATGAATTCCTCATGACTATGCTTTCTTGAAAAGCAGTATCATTTTTCAAATTATTCAGATAATTATAGAGAAGACTTGCATATAAAACTAAGTAATACTTTCTATATAATGACTAGCATAAATGACAATTTAATGGACTCTTCCAAAAGCAATTCTATAGCATACAATTTAAACTGAAGATTTAAACAAAACAGTACATATTTTTCCATCTGTAAATTAATACCTGAAAATCCGTTCTAAAACTTGTGCATTTAAACAGATTCTTTTGACTCAGGAATTTCAAAATTCTCCAGAGCAAATTGTCAGTACAGATGACCAGGGGTCCCTATATTTATTAAACTGAATGACCTGACAGTAAAACTCAGTTAAGGCTCTTGGCATTGGTGAAACTTCTTCCCACTCAGACCTACTACTGTGGTAGACTTGAACTTCATCTGTGATTTCTTCTGGAGCATAATCACCACCTAATATATAAATTTTGTCTTCTGTCCCAACTGCCCCTGCATTAAAGCCAGCGCATTCAAAAGATCCTTCCCCTTTCCAAACACAGGTTTCTGGGCAAAAACTGTAGACCTTGTAGGTGGAGAGATCACATATGTACAATGTACAGTTCACTGGAACAGCTTTGATTAGAGTTGCATGGAAAAATTGCCCAAATTCTGCTACAAGCTCAGACCACTGATCAGTCATAGCGTTATACTTAAAGAAACAGTCAAGAGATGGGTTAAAGGCATCAGTAATCTCTACTTCTGAGCCGAGGACGTAAATTATATTCTGACATGCACTTGCTTCTGGATAGTAGATACCTCTTGGCAATTGGCTTACAGATTTCCAGTCTTTGGAAAGAGGATTATAGGATTCTACATCCAAAAGACTTCGGGTTTCTTGAGCTCCTCTGGTCTTTCCACCTATTACAAACAGCTGATTTAAGGTTACAACAGATGTGTGCATTGTCCTTGGTTTTTTCATAGCTGACACTACGGAGAATTCATTGCTGACTGGACAGTAGCACCAGGTTTGGTCAGTGGCATCATGAAATGGTTCAGCAATATGAAGCCTGACAGTCCTATAACAATTCCCTTTGCATCCTCCAGTTAGAAATATTTTTTCTCCATAGCTAGATAAACTTGACCCTGGAAGATCAATCATGTGCGTATGTGGTAGTTCTTTCCATTTATCTGTTTTGATGTTGTAGCAGAATGTATGTCTGTTTTCTCCATCTTCATCAGTTTTATGAACAAATATATATTTTTCTGTTGTTGAAGGACGTGCATCTGGAAACAGTCCACTAAAGTTTTGCACACTTTCAACTGCATCATTAATTATTACTGAGCAATTAGCACTCTTAAGTAAGTGTTCTTCAGAATGTAGAAAGTCCTGCAAAGTCTTTTCAGGTAACTGGTGTAGTCTCACTTTTTTAATCAAATTTGGCAGATATTTCTGTCGTGTTTCTAAGTTGTGTTTGGTCCACTGAAGGACAGCTTTCAACACCGATTCTTCCTCAGGGACATTTAGTTCGTCAGCCTCAAGACATTTTTGTAATATCTCAAAATTAATCTCCAAAAAATCACTTGATCTGAGCAGCAAGGAAAAGTGGTGCTGTACAAAATCTAGCGCATGATCAAATAAGCGGACAGAACCATAACTTTCTGATAGAGAAAGCAACTGTAAGCAATTCACAAGATCAATACTTTTTATTAGAAAGTCACTGCAAGCTTTGGAAAGGAGTGAAACTTGAAGAAATGACGACAGTTGGAAGAGCATTTCCACATTATCATTTGTTATCTCTGTTTTTCCTGTGTAAGCATAATCAAGAAAAGCTTTCACTGCCTTGGGTGATAGATTACTAATAGTAACATTGCCATCATCTCGTTCTTTCATATTAACTTCAAACATGGCTCTGTGAATAAAATATAGAAGATATACACACAAATTAAAGATCTAGCAAACAGCAGAGAACACTGATGTGAGAGGAGGGAGACAATCGGGGCGTATAATAAGGTGTGCAGACTGTATAGGTCTAAAATGTGGAGGTTCTCATAAGAACGAACAATGAATTTGCTTGATATGGTTGAAGAAAAAAGGAGTGGTGATAAGAACATATTCAAAGTGATGGCTCATAAAAATTACAGCAGCACCTGTGTTTTGTATGGATTTTCACAGAGCGCCATGAAGTCTGCAGCTCTCAATGTGAGAGAAAATGTGAAATTGTTCGGAGCAGCATCAGTTTCAATAGCCTGAGAAAGAAAGGCTGATTTAAAAAATATATAGTAAAAAGCCCCGTGATTTAGGTCATGCACTGTGGATGAATACAGAAAATTAAGCAAAAAATTGCAGGCTGAGCAAATGGCAGGATGGATGATGGGTGCATTCCTCAGCAATAAAAGTAGGTGAGAGGTGAAAGAGGAGGAAAAAACATGAGGAAACTTAATTCTTGCTTTAGAGTTGACAGATAGATGTATGGGTACAGGCAGACGTCAGAAAAAAAATGAGGTTTTGACATAGGATTGCATGACAACTAAACTTGTGCAGAAAGTAGATTGTGACTGAATACAAAGACTGTGGTTGAAATCGTGGAACAAACTATTGATCAGTAGATTTGTGCAAATTTTATTACAACTTTGACTACTTTATTACTAAATATGTAATAACATTTAACTATTTCACACAATCTAACATGCAAGATAAAATAAAGTTTTTCAAGCCAGTAAATGCTGGCAACAGAATAGTGCTGCACATCACTTGCCCTACCCTCCCAGAGCCTAAGCATCAGGCTGTGATAGCAACGGCTTCCGAATTTGACAAAAGATGATAGTAGAGAAGGATGTAGATGAATCATCAAATACTGAGTATGTAATCTGGATTATTAATATATCATAGATAGTTCCTATTAAAAAAGAGTATTATATCATATTCAGTTATACAATTAGTATCTGTATAGTATGTGATTTTTAAAATCCCATACTTTTGTGAAGCCAAAGAGAAAAAAAAAAAAATCACTGTGCAGAGCATACTCTTTGGGAAATGAACATCAGGTAAAGCAGGAACTTGTCTGACCTGAACAAGAACATAAAATTACAGTAAGACACTTAAGTCCCAAAGACCTTTTTGCATACTAAATGACAATCTTTAGAATCCTTTCCTCATTAACCCAAGAGCTATGATACAAATCTCTAAGTTACAGAGTAAAATAGCAACTGAACAATACTAGTAGAAGAGAGCAATCTAGGCAAAGGCTTTGCTTCTGAAAGCTAACAAGTAGGGAGCAAAACGTTGCTGAATCTTGGGTTTACACAATGAAACCAAAACTAAGAGAAGTCCAAAGGCCAAGGAAGACAAAAGGTGTTTCATTCTAAAATTTATCTAGTGGACCTAAGTACTTTTTCTTCCCTGAAGGTAATAAATAGGCCTTGCATTCCAGGACACCTTATGAATTTGATGGCTGCTGTTATCAACTGTTACACGCAGGGAGAGGTCTCTCCTGGCAAATTTTAACCTGAAGAGCCTGCAGGTAGTGAACAGGCCACATATGTTACCATGTGCTTAACTTCAGTTCTAAAAATTACTACTGGAAGCTATTTCATCCTAATATTCCTTTCTACCAGAGCATCTCTGTGCTGTCAAGCAGTAAACACTTGAAATGCAAGTAGTTCTGTGCGTCAGAGAAAAAACAAATCTGCTGCTACAGTGGAGAAATAGCTTATTTCACCTGCATTTCTTCTTTTTTCAGTAGTCCTAAGAATACATCTAGTCTATGTCCTCTGTCATATATGGCAGACTCCCATAAACCATAGGATGCTCCAGGCCATTTGAAAATCACACTTCTCACCTATGTACGGGCAACTGAATCAAGCTCATTAATTCATTTCCAGGAGCCCATTTTTTCATTTTAGAGCATCTTAGCTTTGTGTTTTAGTAAAGAGTGTATTTGGAAACAGACTTTCAGTGTGGAATTGCAAGTTTGAGCCTTAGTAATAAAAAAAGTTAGCAAGGTTCTTCATAAACTAATATCCTGTATGTGAATGATCTGTCTGTCCCTTCAGAATGCATAGCTTTAAGCACCAGAGGGAAGATCACAGATCCACTTCATGCTGAAAGGCTGAAAACTGTAGTTTACAAAAAAATAAGCTGTTTAAATACCTCTGAAGACAAACTCTACTATACTGACCACTCATCTTAGAGAAACAAAATCCAGCCCCATTCCAAAACCATGTACAATTTATCCACAATTGCTCAATGCAAGATGTATTTGTAATCAACCTTCTATGTTTCACAATATAAATGTGTCACAGTACATAGACCGTCCCATGCAAAGTCAAACACTATCCTTGTAGACCTTCAAGTACAGATACAGGCAACAGATAAGTCTTAAAGATACACAACTTGTGTCAATTCTACCTAAAAGAGCCATGCACTTAGGGTTTGACATTTGTATTTCAGAGTACAGACTGCTGTCTGAATCGCAATCATAGAGTCCTCATGTCACTTTGGAAATACAAACAGATGTATCTGGGGCATGGTTAGGCATCTAACACTGTAGTTTTGTTTTGTTTTGTTTTGTTTTTTATCCTTAATATGATGTTTGAAAACTTTGCTCAAAACTCTGCAGACATATGTAAGTTGTGATGACTTATTTTTTAATTTTTGTAATTATATTCCTTCCCTCCCTCCCAGAGAACTTACAATCCATTTCCTGCAAACTCATGCCAAAATTAGGTTTACCTGAAAAAATCACTGCACGCTGCCAGTACACAACGATGACAAGGAATTATTTCATCTTTCACAAGAATTTTAAAGTCAAAAAATATATTTTGTTCTCTGAACTTCTGTAGTACTTTTAGAATTTGTTGTCCATGACCTTCAGCCACTAAGGAATTGATTTTATTTTCAGGTACAGAAATTCCATTGCAAATAGGTCTGCTAATGTAATCCCGTTGATTGGCCATGGTTTCTTCAATCTGTTCCTGAAACTGAAATGGAAAAATAATTGATTCTACATTCTTGCTATTAAAAAAAAATCAATGTACCATAAAACAAACAAAAAAATTCCCAGCATTGAATTTGGTTTGTAAGTCCTATGCACAGTTCTAAATTTGTGTTGTGACTTTTACACTGAATTTGATAATACTTCTACTTTGCAAAATATATACACATAGCATACTTTGAAAAATAAAATATCTGACATGTATCAAAGAACAACTCTACAAATAGTACCCACCTGTAGGAATTTTTTCAATCAAGTCCACAGGAAGCACACCAAGGAGTGTGTTAAAATTTTTAATGGTCATTTAAGAGAAAGACTAGTCCTAGGCTTACCCTCAAAAAACCCCAAACTCTTACAATTTGATGTAAAATGAAGATGGAAAAGGAAAACTTTGTTACATATTTTTAGATTCCAAAAGGCTCATCTGTATACTACAAACCCCCAAACTCAAAGCAGACCAATGGTCTTTCTACAGCTTACAGTGGAAGCGAGACACAGGCTAGTGGACTGCTTTCTAAGTGCATTCCCATTAGGCATTCCGGACTAAAATAACAGAATACAAACACACACTGACAGCCTTGGCCTAATCACGGGATTGCTAGGGCTTACCAAATGGGGTCATTTAGAGACGGTTTGGTGACAGTGCAACTTTGAGTGTTTAGTCAATTGATACTGATTTTATCTTGTACCTCTAATCTTGCTATGAAGCTGTGTGTTTGCTTACAGCTTATGCTGCACGCTGTGAGCTTCATTTACAGTGGTGTGAATTAACTGGCTTCAGAACCGATTTAAATTTAAGACAGTGCAATCTCCCTTTCAGCAGCCAAGTTTTTCTGGTGAAAATCCCTATACTGACATGCATTGTTTGTATGGTAAGTTGGGCTTCACTATTTTTTACATTAAAAATATTCTACTCCACTTTGACAACAGAAAAACTTTAAACATGAGTATATTGTATTTACACCTATTTAAAGTGCTATTTATACTGCTACAGATGCATAAACTGCCCTTACTGCAAATTTGAGTCAAGCTTGCCTATTTTAAAGCTTAAGGAAACATTCCAAGGTTTTTCTATTGCAGGATTCTGCTTCCACAATTCCAATTAAAATTAGCAACAGATAATGGCCCACCTGAATTGACAAAGAAGGGATAAAAAATTCCAAGCCAAACCCGGAAACCAGAAAAGTATTGCTTTTGGGTTTTAATTTCATGAAAAGGCTTATCTGATAATGTGATACATTCAGAGCAAACTAAGCCATCAGGCAGTCTTCTTCAGGGGAGGTACTGTCATAGCAGACTGAGCTATACTTTATCTAGTCAGGTAGCTCCAACCACAAATAGACCTCCATGTCTCCTGGAATAGAAGAGATCCACTGATCTTGCTGCCAGCACTGGCACCCTTGGAGCAGGCATCTTCTCCTTCCCATGGCCAGCC